TCAGGCTCTTCCCTGAGCATGGAGCCTGCTTGAGATTCTCTCTCTCCCCCCTGCTTGCACATGCTTTCTCTTGCTCTCTCAAATAAAAAAACAAATTTTTTTAATTAATGAAAGTATACGGCACAGCACTGTCAACAATAGCCAAACTATGGAGAAAGCCCAAATGTCCATCAACTGATGAATAGGTAAAGATGTGGGGGGTGTGTGTGTGTATACACAGACACACACACACACATACATACATACAATGGAATATTACTCAGCCATCAAAATGAATGAAATCTTGCCATATGTAATGTGGATAGAGCTAGAATGCATTATGCAAAGTGAAATAAGTCAGAGAAAGACAAATACCATATGATTTCACCCATATATGGAATTTAAGAAACAGAACAGATGAACATATAAAAATGGGGGGAGAGGAGAAAGGGAAACAAACCATAAGAGACTCATAATAATAAAAAAGAACAAACTGAGGGTTGATGGAGGAAGGTGGGTGAGAAATGGGCTAGATGGGTGATGGATATTCAGGAGGGCACTTGTTGTGATAAGCATATGTAAGTGATGAATCACTAAATTCTACTCCTGAAACCAACATTTACACTATATGTTAACTAAAATTTAAGTTAAAAAAAAAAAAAAAAGGAAAAATAAAGAAAGTATATGCAAGAGAACAGACCAGGAAATCTAACTTGAATAGGAAGAAAAATGAAGACAGAAGATAGCTGACAGAATGGGAGAAAATGGGTCAGTATAGTAGAGGACCTGATGGTGTAGAATAGTTGAAGTGGGAATACGTAAGTGAAAAAGATGAATAGAAAATATACTTGTCTTCATTTTCATTAGTGTAAGAATGAAACACATCTATTTTGTATACTTATAAGCCTTGTCAGTACATAGCAGAGAAATCAGTACAAGTAGGAATTCAATAAATATGCATTGAAAGAATAAATTTTACTATGGCAAGTATAAGCATGAAAGACTATTTAACAAGGGTATTTTTTAATAGCATCAGTTGTAACACTGATATAATGAAAACAATCTAAATGCCTGTCAAAGGAGAACAGACTAGAATACACAAGCCATAGAATACTATATATTAACTTTTAAAAAGGAAAAATTCGATCAAAAAATGGTTAGCCAACTCATAGGCCCAGACTTCTGATAGGCCCCAAACCGATATTTGGCTTTTATACCAAATGATATTCAACACTAAAGACTGATATCTGTTAGAACTGCTTATAACATACTGAGTTATTATGAGTTACTAAAATCTTATATTCATAGACTAAAGTTAGCACATTTCCAGTTTACTAAGTATTCTAATTTAATATTCTACTAAAAAGTCTGACAACATGAAACTGCTGGGTTCTATGGAACACATGCATGTATATATATGTATATACACACACTAATAATTGGAATTCCCACAATTTTCAGGTAAAATGTTTTATAAGTGCATCATCAGATTTGTTCTGATCTGACCGTGCTCTTTACTTATTGCTATTTTAATGAGTATGTTAGTAAAATTATTGTTGGATTTTCCGTTTGTTTGACATTTTTGTTCTTATACAACTTTTGTGTCATTTCAAATTTTACTGTTATTTTATTTCTCTCCATTATAATTATTATCACCCCCCAAAAGGTAGGAAAAAAATGCTCCAAGGGAATAAAGCTCTAGACTTTTCTACTTTTCTTACCCTACATCCCAAAAAAAGAGAGTGGAAATTGTACTGAACAAGATTGAGGATATTAATTAGGCAATAGTAGAGACACAGTTTCTTCTCTCTTGAGATTGCTTCTCTTGGAAGTTTCTGTGAAACTTAGACCTCCTCCCATTAGAAAGCAAGCGAAAAAACAGAATGAGACCAAGAAGAATGGGAAACACTATGCCACCCAGTTCAGGTAAAAGGAATCCTCTCAGTTCCATGCCATCAAATTCAGCTTACCAGGGCTACACCAAAATTAGGGCAGAAGCCTCAGCAAATAATAAAGTATTTCTTTGGTGCTGTCCTCTCTGTATTTTCATTTAGATTTCAAGGGATAAGGGGCACCTAGGTAGCTCAGTGAGTTAAGCACCCAACCCCTGATTTGGCTCAGGTCATGATCTCAAGGTTTGTGAGATCAAGCCCTGAGTTAGGCTCTGCACTGACAGTGGCAGAGCCTGCTTAGGACACTCTCTCTCTCTCCTTCTCTCTCTGTCTCTCCCCTGTTCTCTCTCTCTCAAAATAAATATATAAACATTAAAAAAAAAAAGACTTCTAGAGATGGAAGAGGGACAGTAGGCAACAATTCAAATTCAGGATTTAAAGGGGCACCTGGGTGGCTCAGTCGGTTAAGCATCCAACTTTGGTTCAGGTCATGAGATCATAGGTTCGTGAGTTCAAGCCCCATATCAGGCTCTGTGCTGACAGCTTGTAGCCTGGAGCCTGTTTCAGATTCTGTATCTCCCTCTCTCTCCACCCCTCCTCCATTCGAGCATTCTCTCTCCTTCTCTCGCTCGCTCAAAGATAAACATTAAAAAAAGTGTTTTTAAAACACATTTTTAAAAAAATTCAAACTTTAAGGATACTGACTCTTGAATATCTACCCTCACTCATTCAACAAATGCTTATCTGATACATCCTATGTGCCAGGCACTACGATAGGTACTAGAGGTATGATGGTGAAGAGACAGACCTGTCTTCATGGAGCTACAGTCTAATGAGTGAGACAAAATTTAACAGATTAACAAATACACAACATTTAGCAAATAGGTATCTAATTATGGAGACTATGACAAGTGCAATAAAAAAACAATACAGGGAGCTTATAATCATCTCTTTCCCCTATTCCTAACACCAACTTGAAAACAGGATAAGGCTTCTTGTATTACAAAGAACAGTTCTTATAAGAAAAAATATTCAGAATTCAAATTATGTAAACTTACAGCTTCTCTGCCAATGAGTGGATAAAAGGGGGTACCAAAAAGTTTCCTTCCATTGATAAATGCCTTCATGATAAAATTGGTCACTATTGAAAAAAGAAGAAAATAATAAAGATGCAGACCTTAATGTAGAAAAGAGCTTTAAAAACAGGAGATTTCTATATTTCAAACTTACTTTTCCTAGAAACTCCAGCACCAAGGTTATGATTCAAGTCAAAAGGATCTAGAAAAGAAATATTTATTTTTTAATTAAAAATTATGTTCACTATAACATAAACTTAGGAGCCATAACTAGAGTCTAATACTATATAACTCAGACCATTCAAATCAGCAAATTATTCTTTTAAAAATTATAGATTAAAAGAGGAAGAATCTTCCAAATTCTAATGTGTTTTAGTTCTCCCCTCAATTTCCTTCCCAAATGAAACTCTAGCTTTTTGTTTTGTTTTATTTTGTTCCTCAGGTAATATCAGTTAAATGATTACCTTCAATTGCAATGCATTTGGATGTCCACTGCTTCTCAAAAGTTGTCAACAGCTTTTTCTGCCGAATGCTAATTACATATTCCTTGAAATCAAACTCTTCAGTATAGAAGCGAAGCAGTCCCAACCAAAGCTCTCCTAACGTTTCTGTATTCTTTCCAAGTGAAGGTAAACGCTTTTTCTATAAGTGAGAACAAAGAGAGAGAGATGTCAATACCTACCCAAAATATGGACCTCAAGTAAAATTATTAAATTATTCAAATCCTAACATGTATCAGTGAGCATTCTGTAACATAAAGGTTACGAAAAAATTACCAGCTCTTCTGTTTTATCAAAGAAAAATGCATTCCATCCATCAACCATTCGCTGTGGAATCTGTTTTCCATCAAAGATCTGCAAAAACAATTTTATTATCAGATTTCAAGTCATCCAACCCAAAAGCCTAAGTATTCTCAAATCATTTCAGAATGTAGCTATAAAAGACACATTGAAATACTTCTTCCAAAAGGAACATGTCAGGATAGTATAATTTGATGCCAAGTTATTAATGAATAAAATGTATCTGGAAGGTCAAAGCATGAGACTCTACAAATTGACACATTTGATGTTATCTATTTGGCCTGTCCAAACACATCCAGCGGAAAAATAAGGAAGTAAAACTAAAGAAAAAAACAATGAAAACTGAATTTTCATCAAAGGATCATAGATGCAGAAACACATAATACCTATTGATATGTACACCCAAAAGAAATCAATGGAACTGATTGTTTTGGGGAAGGGGTCTAGTACTTTTAATCAGTTATCTGTGTCAGATGAAGCTGAAAAGTCCCTGGGCATTGATTTCTTTAGAGAGAAAATTAGGTAGATTTCCCTGACATCTTCATAAAAATTGTAAAATCTTCATGATAAAAAAAATTTTTTATGTTTATATATTTCTGAGACAGAAAGAAACGGAGCATGAGTGGGGGAGGGACAGAGACAGAGGGAGACACAGAATCCGAAGCAGGCTCCAGGCTCTGAGCCGTCAGCACAGAGCCCAATGTGAGGTTTGAACCCACAAACCACAAGATCATGACCTGAGCCTAAGTCAGACCCCCAACTGACTGAGTCACCCAGGTGCCCCTGATATTTTTTTTAAACATGTTTTTTTTTAAGGCTTTATTTTATTTTTGAGACAGAGACAGCACAAGTAGGGGAGGGGCAGAGAGGGAGACAGAGAATCCCAAACAGGCTCCACACTGCCAGCACAGAGCCTGATGCAGCGCTTGAACTCACAAACTGTGAGATCATGACCTGAGCTGAAACAAAGGGTCCAACACTTAACTGACTGTGCCACCCATGTGCCCCCAAAAGCTTCATGATTAATTATGCATAATAATTCACTGTCCCGACCAAGGAGAGGAAGGGGGCGGTGAGTAATGCTACTTTACTAGAAGAAAAGTATCCCATGAGATTTTTAAAAAAAAAAGATGCAATAAAGTAGAAAGTTGCAATAGGTTCACAGTCAGCAGACTTCATTTCTAGTCTTAGTCCTGCCAAGTAGTGATTCCGGATAAGACAATTATCCTCTTAAACCCTTAGGTATTCTCAATGAAAATGAGAGATTAGATTAATTAGGTCAGTTGTTTCCTTTTTTCTTTTCCTCTTAAGCTGTAGAAACTTCTCCTAAAATGCAACCTTCCTGGAAGCTTAATAGGTAAAACAGATAAAAAGCAGAGGTACTCTGATAGAAGCCTGAGTACAGGAAACATACCCCATTTTTCTTTATCTCACTTCTCACATGTACACTAATGAGTCCCCAGAGCTTACCAGAAAATACTCCAAAACCATCAGATAAGGTGGTCCTCCCTCATCACCCCTTCCATTTTAGATGGCACAGTGATTTACAAAATTAACATGTCTGGCCCATCTAATCTCACTCTCAGCTTTATGTTCCTTGTAGGCAAAAACTGTAACTTTCCACTGGAGCCAAAATTCCTACTACATCACAGCCTGTCATATAGAGAATACTTAATACATGTTTGCTGAATGAATATATTTACTCTGAAAGCATGTTCATAAAGTGATCAAGTTTCCAGAAACTTAAGCTAATAAGTTGCTTTTTATTTATATGTAACTTAAATACAGTTACCACTTATCTACCATAAATTCTGACACTTCATAAAGCAAACAACGGAGAGCCTGGCAATTACAGATATTGATATCTAAAACAAAAGATATGGGATCTTGCCCTGAAAAAAGAAATGAAGGCTTCAAAGGAGCCAAAGTGTAATATTTTACCCTTATAGATTATTTTACCCTTATGGATACTATTATAGATATTACATGGAAAATAATACAAGCTACCACTTTAGACCTTGATTCTTTTTGATATAATTCTTATTTCTGAGTAACCACCGTGATCCAAACTCAACTATGTTGGCTGATTAACACAGGAAGTGGACCCTGGGGGGTGGGCCTTGGAAGGTGTTTAATCACTGATCTGCCAATTTTTTTATGAGCTCTCATATTTCATTTTCTAACTTTCCACTCTTTCAGCCCTTAGAAAAAGCATTAATTCTATCCTCCCTTTCTCTTACACACGCACACACTTACTCTTTGCATTTCTCTCTTCTCTTTCTCTCTCTCAACACCATCATTTTCTATTCAAGCACTCAGTACTCCCTCTAAAACTTCATGACACATCTCAATCATATTTGTACAAGGAGTGACCCTGTATGTTTTCCATATTTACTTTTATATTTAATTGTAGTATTTTAGTATCTACTGCTATATTTAATTTTTGTTTGAGAGAGAGAGAGAGAGAGAGAGAGAGAGAGAGAGAGAGAGAGAATGAGCAGGGAAGGGGCAGAGAAAGAGGGAGACGCAGATTCCAAAGCAGGTTCCAGGCTCCGAGCTGCCAGCACAGAGCCCGACGTGGGGATTCAAACTCACCAGCCATGAGATCATGACCTGAGCCAAAGTCGGATGCTTAACCAACTGAGCCACCCAGGTGCCCCTCTACTGCTATATTTAAATTGCAATTTTTTTACACATAACATAATAATATGTTATGTGTACACATAACAAATACACACAACAAATGATTATGATATAAATTTTATAAGTGTACAGTTCAGTGGCATTAAGCACACTCACATTGTTGTACACCATCACCATCATCCACCCACAGAATTCTTTTCATGAAACACTGAAAAGAAATGAAACACTGAAACTATTAAACAATAATTCCCTCTTCCTCTCTCTCCTAGCCCCTGAAAACCACCATTCCACTTTCCATCTCTTTGGATTTGACTACCTCACTTAAGTGGAATCACACAATATTTCTCCGACTGTTTTATCTTAACATACTGCCCTCAAGATTCATCCATTCAATGGCAATTTTTAAGCTGATAGAAGCTAAGAAAACATAGTGGTTCATAGTATCAAGTGTGAAAACACTCCCTAATTCTTTTTTAGCATTTTTATATGAAAATGTACTTTACTTACGATGATTTTCTAGAATACAGCAAAACCATTCTCTTAGGAAAGCTCCTTTTGACCTACATAACTTTGTACTGTTAACCATGAAAAATATACTTAGTAGAACATTACTTATACCCAGTCACTTCAAGTCTAGGTTCAATTACAAATGGAGTCAAAGATCATCATCTTCATTAAACATATCCTTACCCTTAAAAGTTGATCAATGCCAATGACCAATACTTAAATGATGCCAAGAATGGACAATGGGGTCCCATATGACAAGCAAAAATGCCAGAAGCAAAATCCATATATCATCAGTTCATATGTATCACAAAGCCCCCCACAATCAGAGCTCATTATGATGGAAAACATTCCATGGACTGCCTCTCATTTCATCAAGCACTGTTATGCAGATAATGGGAGAGTTCTTGAAGTTGGCTACTATAGTCCTGCCTACATTTTCCCAGTAATAATATTTAAAAATCTGCTAATGATGATGATGATAATAAAACATGCACCATTTAGCACCTACTATATGCAAAAGCATCCGATTTCTCTGTACCTTATATCAATACTGAAATAATACTACTACATTATTACTGTTGATGAAACTCAGACTAGTGGCCGTTAGGCAACTTTTTGAAAGCCACAATGTCAGAATTAGGATTCACATCAGGTATCTCTGGCTCCAAAATCATGCGCCTGCTCTTTCCATTATATAGTGCTACCTTAGTGGTATCTCATTCATGGGTAATGTAATTACACAACATAGACAAACCACCATGAAAACAAATTTTGTGTTCCATTTTAGTCATGGTATTCTGTCGAAGTCATAGCCAATCATAGTAAATGGCTGCTATGGTATTCCTGGGCAATAATGCATTTAAGATCCCCAAATTTAAAGCCGTTAACAATGGACTAATACAGAGAATGATCCTGGCCTTGTCAGGCCTCATTAATTCATGATAAATTTTAAGCATCCTACTGTGAACAACCTTGTCAAAAACCACATCATTCAACATAAATTCAGCAACTTAAAATTTTCTGCCAAGAAAGGATATTTGAAATTTTTGATTCCTTTCCATTGTTATCTTAAAAAGGGGCAAGGAAATGCTGCTATAAGCACATGACATTCATTAGAACTTTTTAAAATTTACTAGGGCTATCTGACATTCACCATTTGGCTTGCTTATTGTGTGATTTTATTTTCTGCCATGACTATCGGTTTATGTGAAGTCAGAATATGTGAACTGCCAAGCAACTCTAACTGATTCTTCTCTTTATGTGAAAATAAACACTTTCCTAAGAAATTAGAACTGGATTCTCCCTAATGCTTACAAATACACATTGTGCCAAGAATGAGGAGGAAAAGACAGATGATTAAGAAATCCCTTAAATCTATAACAGAGTATAAATTGGCTACAAAAAGAGAATCCTTAAGTCACCAAATCTGAATGAAAAGGAGTACAATCTGTTTCTTCTGATGTACACTCTTACACTCACTGCAATTAACATACCCTTACAGAGATGAGGAAGAATTTCCTTGGGTTTTCTCTCAACAAAAATTCACAAAGTTGACCAAAGTATACACAAGAATATACCAAACCTCACTGCCAGGCAGGAGAAGGGAGAATACTATGGAGAGAAGAAACTTTATATTTGCATCTGAGATGATATGATGTATGAGTTCATCGATGGCTACAAGACTTTCATAATCATCTGCAATACTCTAATACTGTGAAATACAAAACTGTTGCAAAAGATATTTAATAGTTCTGTTCATCTATTATTCTTTTGGTAGTCTATATTCTCCCATAATGAATTTTGCAAAAAAGTTCATTATATGATTATAACATTAAAGGAAGAAGAAAACTCAGAATTGTCCATGCTGGAAAAATTCCTTCATGATCTCATAAACTACACAAGATCTACTATGTGTAGATCAATTTTCACAAGAAACTCCTTTACACTTTAAAAACCTACCTCTTGTAGAACTGGGATAACAGGTGGTTTTCTCTGCTGCAGAAAGTACAGCACCATAAGGATATAAGCATATGAAGATAAACTTCCCCTGGAAGCATCTCCAATGTCACATCGCTAAAGAAACAGAAATATTATTGAAAATAAAACTTCAGAATCTTATTCCATGCAGAAGTACTGACTACATGAAGACACTATTTTTTTAACCCGTCAAAATGTCAAATATCCAAAAGCTAACAACAAACTATTATGAGGATGGGCAAACAGGCACTCTTGTAAATTACAGATGGCAGTATAAATTAGCATAAAATCTATGAAGAATAATTTGGCAATATCAAAATTACAAAAGTGTATCTTACTTAACCTAGCAATTCTGTTCTAAGGATTTATCCTGCAAAAACACCAAAAAACATGTGAAATAACTTAAATTTTTTTTTATTATAGCACTATTTTAACAGCAAAAAAATAGAAACAAGACTCATCAGTGGGGCACAGGTTTTAAAAAACTGATGACTACACTATGGAACAGGGTGTCACCATTAAAAAAGAACATGGAAGAAAAAAAGGAACAAAAAAGCTCTAGTATACTAATAGAAAATAATTTCTATCTATTATTCAGTGAGGAAAGCAAAATACAAAACAATGTTTTCAGTATATTTATACCTGTAATAAAAAGGAGATAAGAAATTTATGTATTTGCTTATACTGACATATTTCTGGGAAGGCACAGAGGAACTTTTTAACACCAGTTGCCTCCAGCAAGAAGCACTGGTTAGCTAGGAGACAGGTGTGGACAAGAGATTTTCCAGCAGAAATCCCTTTAGACCTTTTAAATTCAAAACCACGTGAATAAGTTGACTATTCAAAACAAAATTTTTAATTGAAAAATATCATGAAAGAATCCTCAGAGACTTCCACTAAGACTTTAGCTGACATATAAAGGGAAAGGAATGATTTCTGATATGAAACACTTTTAAGTTTCATTGCCACAACTCCGCAAGAGTACAGACCCATCATGCTAAAATTACTTTTTTTTAATTTTAACTTGTTTTATTTTTTATTTTTTAAAATTTACATCCAAGTTATTTAGCATATAGTGCAACAATGACTTCAGGAGTAGATTCCTTAGTGCCCCTTACCCATTTAGCCCATCCCCGCCTCCCACAACCTCTCCCGTAACCCTCAGTTTGTTCTCCATATTTATGAGTCTCTTCTGTTTTGTCCCTCCCTGTTTTTATATTTTTGTTTCCCTTCCCTTATGTTCATCTATTTTGTCTCTTAAAGTCCTCATATGATTGAAGTCATATGATTTTTGTCTTTCTCTGACTAATTTCACTTAGCATAATACCCTCCAGTTCCATCCACGTAGTTGCAAATGGTCATGCTAAAATTATTCTGTGAGGTGAATCCAAAAGTAGCCATATCAAATACGATTTGAGAATGTGTCTGAATGCCATTCTTTTCTTTTTTTTAAATTGTTTTAAATGTTTATTTATTTTTGAGAGAGAAAGAGTGCCAGCAGTGGAGGGGCAGAAAGAGAGGGAGACACAGAATCTGAAGCAGACTCCAGGCTCTGAACTATCTGCACAGAGCCCGATGTGGGGCTCAAACCCACAAACTGTGAGATCATGACCTGAGCCGAAGTCGGATGCTTAACTAAGCCACCCAGGCACTCCATCATTCTTTTCTAAGATGACCTCTGTCCACAGACATGCTAAAGGAATATCTAAACAAATATGTCTTCCTGCTGGAAGAGTGGATTTTACTAAATGAAAACGTGACCAACTCACTCCACTACTAGAAGTCTTCCACAAACACATTCACAAAATTAACTGTTTACTGAATAGCTAGCACAAAGCAGGTACGCTAAACTGGGGATACAGGTCTCCATCTTCATAGAGTTTACACACTTAGTGAAAAACAAGAAAACAGAATTCAGTTTATAAGTGTTATAACAGAAGAAACACAACATTTTATTGTTTTGTTTTCTTAGAAAAATTTATGACTAGACCCAAATCTCAGATTTCCTAACTCAGAGATTCTTACCTAACTCAGTATGATATGCCAACTCCCAGACCTGGGGCTGAAAATCTTTACTCCACTGAGAAATTTACGAAAGTATTGCACATAGGAATAGAGCACACACAGGAAAAAAACTAAGACTCACCCTACTCTAACAGGTATAAATTTAAATCATTTAATAGAGTGCTTCCCTTTAAAAGCTCAGATAAGTAATGAGGCACCTGAGTGGCTCTGTTGGTTGGGCATCCAACTCTTGATTTCGGCTTAGGTCATGATCTCAGTCATGAATTCGAGCCCTGCATCTGGCTCTGTGCTGACAGTGTGGAGCCTGCTTGGGATTCTCTCTTCTTCTCTGTCCCTACCTTGCTACACACAAGTGTCAGCACGTGCACATGCCCTCTCTTCTCTCAAAACAAATAAACAGGGGCATCTGGGTGCTCAGTTGGTTAAGCATCCACCTCTTGATTTTGGCTCAGGTCATGAATTCATGGTTTGTGGAACTGAGCCCCACATTGGGCTCTGCATTACACGGACACCATGGAGCCTGTTTGGGATTCTCTCTCTCCCTCTCTCTGCCCCTCCCCCACTCACTCACACTCTCTTACACAAAATAAAAAAATAAGCTTTAAAAATAGGTACACATTAAAAATAATAATAAAATAAAAGCTCAGCCAAGTAAAACTGAGAAGATATTTGCCACAAGTCTGACATCCATATATATCATCTTAACTATCATGAGTATTATAACAAAGCAGATCATTAACTATTTAATAAATACCTTTGCAAACACTTTCATAGTATATCCCAAGTATTGTACTCTAGGATCAATAGCTGCATAAGTAGCTAGCATTCTTGTGTTATGTTGAGCCTGAAAAACAATTACATATTGGAAAGCATTTCAAATTTATTAAAATTAAACTCAGAAATCAGATAAAAAGATATAATACAATCCAAATAAAATATATAATTGTAAAACTTAAAATACCTATAAATGAATCAAAAACTAATCTTCAATGTGAAGGAAATATCAAGACGATTCATAGAAATATTTTTGTTTTAAAATACATTTGAAACATCTAAACATAAATGGTCAGTGATCTGTAAACTTTTAAAATAACAAATACCTGGGTCTATACAGAAAGAGAAACTCACCAATGTATTATATAAACTGATATCGCCTTCTAAACCACTTCGTCTATGTTCAAATTTTACTATAGGCACTTTGGCAGTAGTTATAGGCAAAATGTTTCTTAAACCTGATTTAAGACAAACAAACACAAAAATTTCATTATGTTAAATAATTTTCATAAAGCTAAAAAATATTTGGTTGTTTTAAAGCTATAATTTAAATTCATACCTGGATGTCTCTTAAGAATTTTTGCCAAATTTTCAATTATTTCCTTACAGTTTAATTTCTAAAAAACAAAAGAAACAAATAATAAAGTTTGTCTAACTCAATTTGGCCTTGTGCAAATTCTACTGTAATGAGGCATTTAATACTAGCATTTCAAATCTCCAGCTAGCTATAAGTTCTACTTATATATGTATAAGGGTATACAAATATACCCTTGCTACTCAAAGTATGTGGTCTATAGACCTGCAGTATCAGCATCGTCTGGAAACTTGACAGAAAGACAGAATCTCAGGCCCAGCCCCAATCTAGTGAATCATAATCTGCATTTTAACAAGATTCCCAGGTAATTCACATCCACATTAAAGTGTGAGAAGCACAAAGACAAGAGAATACTGTTTTCAAATATGTGAATATGTAACTAAGGATGGATATGGTGAAGGTAAAACAGTACAGTGATTAAGAACATAGGGCTCTGAATTTAGACAAACAATCTTCAACTAAGTATTAACTAGCTGTGTGACTGTGAATCCTTAACCCTCGGAGCCTAATACTATAAAATCAAGACAATGATAAATGTCTACCCTACCAAGTAGTTGGAAGAATTACACGAGACATGTATGAAAGCATTCAGCAGCAAGCTTGGCACAAAATAAGCACTTTAAGTCTGTGAGCTATTATTATTATTATTATTATTATTATTACTATGTTGATGAGGAAAAGAAATGTAATCCAATTATTACACAATCTACTTTTTCAAGAAAATTCTTACCCCCACAAATTGAAATATATTGATTTTTTTTAATCCAGAGACAGCAGAGTTGAAATGTGACAATAACCGTGATACAAGGAATAGGGAGATAATGGCATTATAAATTAAATGGATTAAGTTGAGTGGTATATACATCAGTGCCCACACTTTCTACTAAAATCACTTTTGTATATCCCTAACGTGCTCTTTTTAGCTATAAGAGACCAGAAGCTATTACAACTTAACCTGAGGATTTCAAGGAAACCTTTAGTTACTAATTAACACATAATAAAATAAGAGATAATTTTTCTCTTTATTATGTAAGGATACAATTTATGCTAAATTATAAGTTTCAACTATGGCTCATCTAGAAGCAAATTTAATCTTTTTTATTGTTTCAACTTTCCAATGTTAATGGCACAGATTATATATATAACAGACAAACCCTTAGTGCCTAGAGTCTGACTATTAAATTTTACATAGAAGGTATCTAAACCCTAACCTCTTCCCTGGGTAAAATCATTTCCTACTCCCTCAATTCTTGCTCTTCAAAATGGAGAGGGGAAGCCTATTTCCAAGTAGATGGCACCGAGCAGAAGTTAGTTAAGGAGAACTAAAACATTTACAACTTTTCCATTTTTTAAAGAATAAGATATTAAGGGGCGCCTGGGTGGCTCAACTGGTTAAGCATCAACTTCTGATTTCAGCTCAGGTCATGATCTCACAGTCGTGAGACGGAGCCCTGCATCAGCCTCTGCACTGGGCATGGAGCCTGCTTAACAATCTCTCTCTCCCTTTCCTTCCTGCCCCTCCCCTACTCACGTGCACACAAATGCACGCTCTCTCTCTCTCTCCCAGAAAAAATTAACTAATTAAAAGGAAAAAAAAGAATAAGATGTTAATACTAGAAGCAGTTTCTTAGAGCCAGAAATAAGGATCAACCAGACATGTTTACTCTGCCATCTTTACTATGGTTCTGCCATCTTTACTCTGATTCTAACAATTTAAAAGCCACCTTTTGAAAAAATGTTCAGAAACCCACAGTACACGATTCTGAATTCTTTTATAATAACACTCTATACTGACACCACTACAGATGCCAGAAGCTTGGCCACACCCCAATCTTGCAAGCAGCCCCTGATCTTGAAACATAAATTCCAACAGCTATGTTCCTAAAGGAATGAGCAACTATAGGGATCCCCTCCTTTTTAGTGGCTGCTAGGAAGGCCTGGGATACTTCCCTGTCCAATCAGTCCCTTTCTTCAGTGGAGCTTGGACAATCTTGTTCCCACTACTGAAGGCTGATACACGAAGAAAGAAAGCACAAGTACCCACTCTCACTGCTGAGACTGCTCTGGGGGAAGGTCTGCTCCTGGCATCTCACAGTGAAATTCCAAAAGTAGTGATTAGGTTCTACAGTAGTATTAGTACTAAATTTCAGCTACATTATGGGTTAAATAAATTACAGAGAAGCAGTGAGATACAATGGAAAGAGCATGAACTGTGGAGTCAGACAGACCTGGGTACGAATCCCGGCTCGAACATTTACTAGCTGTGTGAACTTGGGCAAGTCAGTATATCTCTCAAAGCCTCAGTTTCCTCATCTGTAAAATGGGGGAAATTATCTACCTCGAAGGTGGTTGTAAGAATGAAATGAGGCCTCAATAACTGTTAGTTCCCCTTCCCACCCAAAATGCGTTTCTTGACTAAAAGCTATCCTAGAATGCAACATTTATAATAATGCTTTATGGAAAAAAATGTCTTCTAATTGCTCACAAATTCTAAATAACTTGTACAATACAACCTACTTATAAATTAGATGCCCACCTTTATTTTCTATCTTTAGTGATACAAAGATATCACTTAACGGAAGAGATATGAAAAGACAGAGAAAGTGAGATCAATGTTCACTCGTAGTGTAGCACCAGCTTCCCATTGGTTCTAATGGAAAAAACTACAACTCTATGGTATATTAACTTTTCCCAAAAATTCAATACAAAGCACTTTTAACTCAGTGACATTGTTTTCATGATATAAAATTATTGAAACAGTAAATTTACTTAGAGATTTGAATGTCTTCTAAAATGATAGTGCTAAATGCTTTTACATTTCAAATACTACAATTGCTGATATATTTACACAAAGAATGGTACAATATATTTTTATCAATACTACATACATAATTTCAAATATATTCACCACTGGAAAAAAATAAACTTCCACATCCCTTTCCAGACACTAGCTCTTACCTCTGCATTTTCATGGCCTTCCAGGGTCATACAAATATCCAGATCACTATCACGAAATCCAAATCCATTCTTAGAAGAGCCAAATAAGCACAATCTGGCCTTTTCTAAGTAAAGGAAAACAAAAGTCAAAAGTTTTATAATTTGTAGGAAAGAGAAGTCTTTTATTACCTACTAATGGACTAACACAAGATGCTCTTGTCCACTTTGACAGCTTAAATTACCTTCTGTTGCCAGATATACTGAGAAATTCCAAAACATTCATCTAAAGCCCAGATCTTTTGCCCAAGTTCCCACAACCCATGTTTCTAACTGCTGTTTACATTTTTCTACAGACATCATAAATTCAACAAGTCAAAACTAAACCTTCAACTTTACCTCAAACCTACTATTGCTCCTATAATCCCTATTCTCAGCAAATAGTATTTTTATCTACCCAATTGCCCACATCAGAAATATAGGTGTTATTCTTAATACCACTCTCTCTCAGCTTCTACATCCAAACAATCACCAAGTCCATTAGCTGCTTTCAATGTAACTAACTCATAAATTCATCCACTTTTCTTCATTCTCCACAACACTACCAATAGTAAAGTTTAATATTTAGAGATTTACCTCCTAGAAATTAGTAAACTAGTTTTTTCAGGGCACAATTCAAGTAGTTTTACAAATATCACCTAAGTACATAGAATTAATTCTCCTCCCAAAGTGAGTGATTAATCCATTTGATATAAATTATGATGGGATTATCCTTTCATATTTAGTGTCAGTCAGTAACAGCTACCACTTCAAACAAGCTGTACCTTAACTGGATTGGATTTCTTTCCATATTAATTCCTGTAGATTACACAGTTAAAAAACAAATTTTACATTTTCAAAACCTAATCCTCCAATTCAGTTCTGATGTCCAACTTGAAATTTCAATGGCAACTGAGAGATGTGAAAGAAGCTATGTTCATCAGCAAATAAAAATGTGCATAAGCTAAATATAATAGATTTGATCAGGACTGTATATACTAGCAAATATAATGGAAAATGTAATCTTATATAACAGATCTTTCATAATATACATTCATTCCATTATAAATCAACTCTTTATCATTTCCTAAAATATTTGGCCACAAAACTCTCGATTCTTCGTCCCCATGCCCAAAACCTATTCCTTCTACTATTTTTGCCATCTCAGTTAAACAGTACCACCCAACTACTCAGGTAAAAGCTTTTAAACTGTCCTTGACACCTTTTTTTTCCTTCATATCTAACATGTAAGGCTTCAGCAAATCTTATTAGTTCTACATTCAAAATATGTCCTAAATTTGACCCCCTTTCATTGACTCTTTCAGATGTTATTACGTCTCATCTGAATGTATACAACAGCTTTTTAAATGTTCCACTTGCTTCTATTCTTATGGACCCATACTGTATTCTCTCAGATCATACCACTTAAGTGTTAAAACCTTCCAGAAGCTTCTCATTAGACACTCAAAATTCAGAGTCCTTCTACCAACATCTATAAGGCCCTAATGACTCAATCTCTAGACTACGTCTCAGACCTCAACTTTCTATTACAGTCTACCTCACAACTCCACTCCAGACACACTGACTTCCTGCATGGCCTTCAAGCATACCAAACATAATTCAACCTTGGAGTATTTGTACTTGCTACTCTTTCTCTCTAGAATGTTCTCTCCTTAGACATTCATATAACTTGCTCCCTCATATTATTCATGGCTCTCTTCAAATGTGACTTTATCAGAGAACTACCATAATAGTAGAGAGAACTACTCCATCACTATCCTTTCAACTCCTGTACTTCAATAGCATTTATTATTTCCTGATATTAAATTGTATACCTGTTTGTTAGTTGACTGTCTACTCCTCTTAATATAAGTTTTATGAAAGCAGGTTTCACCTTTTGTATTGGTACTATATTCCCAGCACCTGTTTTAGTACCTAACCATAACATTCAATGAACACTTTTAAAGTAAACGAAACTCTGATTGGGTGGCTATAATAACAAAAACAATCAATTTTTAACATATGACATACCATCATATTCTTTTTGAATAAACTTTTCCAAGCCAATTAAAATTTGCTCCCTGTTGTGTTGTTCAGAAAAGGGTGGTGATAACTCATCTAAAAAAAGAAAAAGGAAAAAAGTAAGGAAAACAGAATCTGAAAAAGTCATCAATTTTTTATCCTAAACTCTTTACTTAAAATTTCATTATTTGTGGGGCGCCTGGGTGGCTCAGTCAGTTAAGCGTCTGACTTCGGCTCGTCATGATCTCATGGTCTGTGGGTTCGAGCCCCGCATCGGGCTCTGTGCTGACAGCTCAGAGCATGTAGCCTGCTTCAGATTCTGTGACTCCCTCTCTCTCTCTGCCCCTGCCCTGCTCATGCTCACTCACTTGCTCTCTCTCAAAAATAAACAAAACATTAAATTTTTTTAAATTTCATTATTTGTTAACTTCTCTGACTTTAAAATCGTAAATATTACTAGGGAAGGAAGGGGCAGAGGGAGAACAGAAAAATATTTTTTATAGGTCTATATACATTTCACATGATCATTCCTCTATGAAATATCTGCAAAATATATTTACTTCTACATATTATTTAATATTATTTTCTGCAGACATTCTTCTCGCTCCCAAAAAATGCTTGTTTTTCCTACCTGTTAAATCAATACTCATCTTGTTATGCGAGGTACCTGACCCATTCAAACCTAGCAGTTCCCTCAAATACATGGTCAAGATCTTTTCTATAAACTGCTTTGCCCAACCACAGCCTTCAGTGACTTCTCCTTAAATTAATTTCCTTAGTTCTACAAAGCACTTGCCAATTTGTACTAACCATTTAATTTTCTAGGTATTCCATTTATGTTCACATTATTTTTCCACATAAGACCAAATATTCTTTTTTTTTTTAATTTTTTTTTTTTAACGTTTATTTATTTTTGAGACAGAGAGAGGCAGAGCATGAATGGGGGAGGGTCAGAGAGAGGGAGACACAGAATCTGAAACAGGCTCCAGGCTCTGAGCTGTCAGCACAGAGCCCGACACGGGGCTCGAACTCACGGACCGCGAGATCATGACCTGAGCCGAAGTCGGCCGCTTAACCGACTGATCCACCCAGGCGCCCCAAGACCAAATATTCTTAAGAGTACTCTTTTTCCGGGGCACCTGGGTGGCTCAGTCAGTTAAGCATCCGACTTCGGGTCAGGTCATGAACTCACAGCTTGTGGGTTCGAGCCCTGTGTCAGGCTCTGTGCTGACAGCTCGGAGCCTGGAGCCTGCTTCGGATTCTGTGTCTCCCTCTCTTTCTGTTCCTCCCCTGCTTGCACTCTGTCTGTCTGTCTTTCTCTCTCTCTCAAAAATAAATAAAGATTAAAAAAAAAATTCAAATACCAATTAAAAAAAAATAAAAAGAGTAATCATTTTTCTTTTCTATCTCCTCTTCTAGACTCATCCCCAAGAGTTAATACAGTGATAGGAACAAAGGAGTAATTTACTGTAATGATTTAAACTAATATTCAACTTTTGAAAAACAAATGTAGCATCTGTGTTTGCAAGCTGAATACAGGCATACCTCATTTTATTACACTTTGCTTTACTGCCCTTTGCAGATACTGTGATTTTCACAAAATGAAGTTCTGTGGCAACCCTACATTGAGCAAGTCTATCAAGCACCTTTTCTCCAACAGCACTTGCTCACTTCATGTCTGTGTCACATTTTGGTAATTCTCACGACATTTCTTTTTTTTTCTTTTTTTTTTTTGTTCCTATCTTTGTTTTTCTGTTTTTTACTTTTATTTTTTTTTCAATATATGAAATTTATTGTCAGATTGGTTTCCATACAACACCCAGTGCTCATCCCAAAAGGTGCCCTCCTTAATACCCATCACCCACCTTCCCCTCCCTCCCACCCCCCATCAATCTCACAACATTTCAAACTTTTTCATTATTATATGTTATGATTACCTATGTTCAGTGACCTTTGATGCTACCATTGTAATTGTCTTGGGGTGCCATAAACTGTACCCACATAAGATGACAAACTTAATAAATTTTGTGTGTGTTCTGGATGCTCCACTGACCACCCATTTCCCCCACCTCTCACCCTCTCCTTAGGGCTCTCCATTTTCTGAGACAACATGCTACTGAAATTAGACCAGTCAATAACCTTATTATGGCCTCTAAGTGTTCAAATGAAAACAAGTATCACATGTCTCTCACTTTAACTCAAAAGCTAGAAATAATAAAGCTTGTAAGGAAGGCATGTCAGAAGTCAAGATAGGCTGAGCGCTAGGCTCTTGCACCAAACAGCCAAGTTGTGAATACAAAGGAAAAGTTCTTGAAGGAAATTAAAAGTGGTACTCCAGTGAACACATGAATGATAAGAGAGTGAAACAGCCTTATTACTGACATGGAGAAAGTATAAGTGGGTCTGAATAGATCAAACCAGCCACAACATTCGCTTAAGCCAAAGCCTAATCCAGAGCAAGTTTCTAATTCTCTTCAATTCTATGAAGGCTGAGGTGAGGAAGCTGCAAAACAAAAAGCTTGAAGCTAGCAGAGGTTCACGAGGTTTAAGAAAAGCAGCAATCTGAACAAAATACAGCATCCTTTCTTGATAAAAACCCTCAAGAAAATAGGGATAGAAGGAACATACCTCAACATCATAAAGGCCATATACGAAAGACTCACAGCTAATATCATCCTCAATGGGGAAAAACTGAGAGCTTTCCCCCTAAGGTCAGGAACACGACAGGGATGTCCACTCTCACCACTGTTGTTCAACATAGTGCTGGAAATCCTAGCCTCAGCAATCAGACAACAAAAAGAAATAAAAGGTATCCAAATCAGCAAGGAAGAAGTCAACTTTCACTCTCTGCAGATGACATGATACTCTACATGGAAAACCTGAAAGACTCCACCAAAAAACTGCTAAAACTGATACATGAATTCAGCAAAGTGGCAGGATATAAAATCAATTAACAGAAATCAGTTGCATTTCTATACACCAATAATGAAGCAGCAAAAAAAGAGAAATCAAGGAATCGATCCCATTTACAATTGCACCAAAACCCATAAAATACCTAGGAATATACCTAACCAAAGAGGTAAAAGATATGTATGATGAAAACAATAGAAAGCTTATGGAAGAAACTGAAGATGACACAAAGAAATGGAAAAACATTCTATGCTCATGGATCAAAAGAATAAATATTGTTAAAATGTCAATACTACCCAAAGCAATCTACACATTCGATGCAATCCCTATCAAAATAACATCAGCATTCTTCACAGAGCTAGAACAAACAATTCTAAAATTTGTATGGAACCAACAAAAGGCCCTAAATGGCCAACGTCCTGTTGAAAAAGAAAACCAAAGCTGGAGGCATCACAATTACAGACTTCAAGCTATATTACAAAGCTATTATCATCAAGACAGTATGGTACTGGTGAAAAAACAGACACACAAATCAAGGAAATAAGAGAGAACCCAGAAATGGGCCCACAAACGTATGGCCAACTAATCTTCGACAAAGCAGGAAAGAATAACCAATGGAAAAAAGATAACCTCTTCAGCAAATGGTGTTGGGAAAACTGGACAGTGACATGCAGGAGAATGAACTTACACCATACACAAAAACAAACTAAAAATGAACGAAAGACCTAAATGTAAGATAGGAAACCATCAAAATCCTAGAGGAGAAAACAGGCAACAACCCCTTTGACCTCGACCACAGCAACTTCTTACTAGGCATGTCTCTGGAGGCTAGGGAAACAAAAGCAAAAATGAACTACTGGGACCTCATCAAGTTTATAAAAACCTTCAGCACAGCAAAAGAACATTCAACAAAACTAAAAGGCACCGACAGAATGGGAGAAGATATTTGCAAATGACTTATCATATAAAGGGTTAGTATCCAAAATTTATAAAGAACTTATCAAACTCAACACCCAAAAATAAATAATCCAGTGAAGGAATGGGCAAAAGACATGAACACTTTTTCAAAGACATCCAGATGGCTAACAGACACATGAAAAGATGTTCAATATCACTCATCATCAGGGAAACAGAAATCAAAACCACAATGAGATACCACCTCACACTTGTGAGAATGGCTAAAATTAACAATTCAGGAAACAAAAGATGTTGGCAAGGATGCGGAGAAAGGGGAACACTTTTATACTGTGGGTGGGAATGCAAACTAGTGCAGCCACTCTGAAAAATAGTATGGAGGTTCCTCAAAAAATTAAAAATAAAGCTACCCTATGACCAAGCACCAGTAGGTGTTTATCCAAAAGATACAAAAATGCTGATTCAAAGGGCACAGACACCCCAATGTTTGTAGCAATACTATTAACGATAGCCAAATTATAGAAAAAGAGCCCAAATTTCCACTGACTAATGAATAGATAAAGATGTGCAGTGTGTGTGTAAGTTTGGGTCATGAACCCACAGTTCGTGGGGTCGAGCCCCACGTCAGGCTCTATGCTGACCTCTCAGAGACTTGAGCTTGTTTTGGATTCTGTGTCTCCCTCCCTCTCTGCCCCTCCCCCACTCATACTCTGTCTCTCTCTCTCAAAAATAAACATTAAAAAAAAAAAGTGAAAACAAAAGAGATGAGTATAAGGGAAAGAAATATAAGATAAAAACAGAGAGGGAGGCAAACCACAAGAGACTCCTGAACACAGAGAACAAACTGAGAGTCTCTGGAGGGGTGCTGGGCGGGGGGGGAGGGGGTGGGCTAAATGGGTGACGGGCATTAAGGAGGGCACTTGTTGGGATGAGCACTGGGTGTTACATATGTAAGTGATGAAGCATTAAATTCTACTCCTGAAACCATTATTATACTATATGTTACCTAACTTGGATGTAAATAAAATTTTTTAAAAAGAGAGAGAGGAAGCCATTTGAGTAACATAAAAGTGCAAGGTGAAGCAACAAGTGATCCACTATATCTAGCTGAGATCATTAATGAAGGTGGCCACACTAAACAATGCAGACAAAACAGCCTTACAATGGAAGAAGATACTATCTAGGACTTTCATAGCTAGACAGGAAAAGTCATGCCTGCCTTCAAAGCTTCAAGGGACAGGCTGACTATCTTCTTAGGGGCTGATGTAGCT